AATACCCAGTTCCTTTCACAGCTGCCAATACTTAATATTACCAATACTTTTTACTATGTATTAATCTGATTGTGACAATGTTGTGCTATTTCAATTATTCCTTTATTATGTGTTGAAACTAAACCTGTTTTTGTATATTTCTTGCCTACTTCTATTATTTTTAAAAAGCTTTAAATGACTTTTTGGTATTCTTTATCCATTTTTTGATTAAATGTATGTAGAATTTTTTCCCTAAAAACAAAATTAAACAAACCATTAACCTTTTTTTAGATGTGTGGCAGATACCTTCCTATTCTATTACTTGTCTTTGAACTTTTTTATATGTATATTATTATTTAGTCTTAAATGTTTAATATAGTCATATTGTCAATATTTTATAGCTTCTGTTAGAATATTTTACTTTGGGGTAAAAAAAATACAAATTAGTTTGTATTTTCTCCTAAAACTCCTTAGATTCTACATACTGATTTTTAACCAACTGAATATTTCTTCTATAATGTGTGGAACAGGACTCTCTATTTTTTTAATTTCAAGTAATAGTGCTCCATGCACCTTATTTGTTGAATAAGCCTTATTTTACCCATTGATTTGAAGTATCAACTTAATCATATATTACATTGTTAGATATATATGTTTGTCTCTAGAATGCTCATTATATTTCATTGATCTACTTATTATTTCTGTGCTGTGTCATGTTGGTTTAATTGCTGAGACTTTATAATGGTTTTACATTTTTTTAAATATTTTATAATTAACTTTGACATTTAAAAAATAAATAAAATCAATCTGCATTTAAGAAAGGAAGAAACAAAGAAAGAGGAAGGAAGGAAGGAAGGAAGGAAGGGAGGGAGGGAGGGAGGGAGGGAGGGAGGGAGGGAGGGAGGGAAGAAGGAAGAAAGAAAAGAAATGGAACTCTACCTTTTACAACAACATGGATGGAACTGGAGAATATTAAGCTAAGTGACATAAGCCAGTTGATGAAAGACAAATACCATATGATCTCACCTATAAGTGGACTCTTTTCAACAAAATAAAGTAACAAACAAAATACACCACAGGTATGGAAACATGGAGCAGACTGAAAGTGACCAGAGGGGATGGGGAAAGAGGACAATGGTGGAAAGAAGGGGAAGGGACCAGACAAAGAACACGTATGAATGACCCATGGACATGGACGACAACAGAGTGGGAATTGACTGTGGGAGCAGGGGGTGGGGGTGGAATGGGTGGAGAGGGGTAAAGGGGGAAAAATTGAGACAACTGTAATAGAATAAACATGATTTAGAAATTAAAAAAAAGAAAAGAAAAAATAAACATGTCAACAGATACATAAAATTATAATGTAAGCTAAATATTTACTTATAATAAAGAAAGAAATTGTTAACAGAACATAAATAAGAGGAAAACTTCCTCATTCTGTTAAAGGGTATATGCTATGAACACCATTTGTCTGCGAAAACCACAGGAAAATACTGCTTCACCAATCTAGCCACTGACATGTCTTATACAAAAAGACAGAAAATTAAAGAATTGCTGAGAATATAAAGAAATAAACCCCTTCTTAGTCTTTTATCAGTGTGTAAAATGGTGCAGCCACAACGGAAAATGACATGAAAGTTCTTCAAACCATGAAATATAGAGTTATTCTATGGCCCAGCAATTGTACTCATTTGTATACACCCAAGAGAAATGAAAATATCATTTTCATTTGCCCAAAATCTCAGTGCACAAAAAATCTTGCCCATAAATATTCAACCCATATATGCATCAACTAATAAATGAAATATGATATGTCAGACAATGGACTATTATGGGCAATAAAAAGTTATGTACTACTCATACATGCTACAACATAGATGTATGAGCCCAGAAAACATCGTGCTAGATGATAAAAAAGCAACTTCCAAGAGTCTACATATTGTATAATTCCATTTATAAGGAATATGCAGAATGAGAAAATATATAGAGACTGCTATGGTCTGAATGTTTGTTAGTTGTGCCCTACACCTGAAAAATGATGGCATTAATAATTGGTCTTTTAGGATTAGTGCTCTTGCAAAAGAGGATCTAGAGAAATCCGTTTCCCCTTCCTCCAGGTGAGCACACAAGAAGGCAGCATCTATGAACCAGAAACCAGGCCTTCACTAGACACCGAATCTGCTCGTACTTTGATCTTAGACTTCCCAGTCTCCAGAACTATGAGAAATGCATTTCTGTTGTTTATAAGCTACCAAATTGGTGGTAATTTGTTACAGCAGCAAAGATGGACTGAGACAGAGACAAAGGAGAGCAGTGGCTGCCTGCAAGGAGTTTTGTGTGGGGGAACAGGGAGTGGCTGCTACTTGGTACAGCTTCGCTTTGTAGATTATGAAATGCTCTAAAACTGATAGAGATGATGATTGCAAAACTCTCTGAATATACAAAAAAACCATTGAATTGTATGGTTTAAAAAGTTGAACTATGTAATATGTGACTTATATACTAATGTGACTATTATATAAAAACAAATGAATAAAACCAAAACTTCCATGATGTTCATTTTTTGATGGCTCTCATCAAAAAATGATGAGAAAATGATGTCTGGGTTGTTCATACCATCTGAAATCCAGCGGTAACGAACACTAGATAAAAACGTGTAATGTTGCTCTGAATTTTGCATTATATACCTAGAGACATAATGACTCTTACCTTTCATACTCCTTTTAGCAATCCCAGCACCTCTTTGATGCATATATTTACACCAGCCCTGAATTACTGTTATTACTTTAAGCTCACATGACTACATGACACTGTGCCACAGGCTGACGTATTCTCCTAACCGGGTTTTCCTCTACTAGGTTTGTCAGTTTTATTGTTGTTTTTTTTTTTAATTTGAAGGATGAGAAGTGAGAGTTGGTGTGCTGTTTATTTGAATTTTGCCCACATATCTAATTTTGCATTTATCTTCACTTCTGGATATGTTTGTTCTATTTGTTGTCCAGAAAATTAGAACCTTTCGATTAGAATAATTTTGAGTCCCCCAAAATATTATATAATACATTCATCCAACAAAGGATTGTTAAATGTTTAGTCTCTGCCAAATCCTATGCTAAATAATAAATACTGTGCCCTCAGAACAGCAGTCAACCATGGGAAAACAAGATACTAGAGGTAGTAAAGGAATTCAATTGAGGAGGAATTATAGACAATTTTTGTAATGAAAAGTTCACAGATCTAATTCTAAAATCCCCAACAGACTGGAAATAATTCAGCCTCTACAGGACCAACTTTCAACCTCTTTCATCTCATGCACACACAAAATAATTACTACAATTCTGTGGGACACCAAAAAATAGGTATAATTTTGAATGATTCATACCGTATGGCTATTGCTGTGTTGCCTGTTGTCATTTTTATATTTGACAATCTAAGAGAAAAGAGGCCAGTGCCCCTGACTAAGTATTCAGGAACTGTGTGATTTAAAAACTCTTGCTTCACACCAATTGGAAATCGCTGCTTTAGAGGCTTGTGGTAGGAAGCTCTTCACAGAGCTTTGCCACTAGAGGGCGGTAGCAGATATGAGACACCTACCTATCCTGAGACAGGAAACAAAAACCTTGAAAGATTGCTGGCTGACTTGATTCTCAGTTCTGAGGAAGGAGTTCATATCCACAGGCTCAAGAGGGGGCTGTTGCTGCAGGGAATTGAAGCTCCTTCCAGGGTGAGTTAGAGCATGTCCTTGAGCTGTGAAAGAAATTCCTTTCATCCCCTTTGTTTCCTTGTCCTTTATCAACTCACACTGACCTGGTGCACAGCCTCAAGGACACAAATGAGCCCTTCCCCAAATACAGAGCAAGGAGCTGACCCCTCATGTAAAGAGAAAGGAGAAATGATTAATAGTTTAATTTTCAAAGGCCAAATACTTGTTCCTATAGTGAAATAAGAAACTTAGTTACTGTAGCAGAAAAGGAGGAAATATTTTAATTTTATTCTATCCCACTTTGTGAATAATAACTACTTTTGAAAATAACCAGAGGAATTCCTTTGTATTTATTTCCATCTCTCTTGCAAGTCTTTATTTATTTCCCTTTGTAACTCTTCATTTCACATGTCTTCCTTCCCTGTTTTTCTCTTCTTCTTCTCAATGCATGCCACCCCTATGCATGGACATGGAGATGAGAACATGTCTGTTAAAGAGGGGATAAGTGGAATACAAATAATTACCATTCAAGTCATTGGTTACTGTATCAATGCCAGAGGCATCCAACAAGGTCCATTGGTAGAATGCTTAAGCAGCGTTCCAGGAGCCAATGTGGGAGAACTGAGCACAGACAGCCTGGCTCCTACACTGGATTTCAATGTATCTTATCCTGTCAGACTGAGCTCATGGGTATTATACAGCTATGAAATTATTTTGGTCACGTATGTTGCAAATATTTTCTTCCACAGCCTATTGCATTTTTCAGTGAGTTTATGGTAATTTTTTTTTTTTTTTACCAGAAGAAGTTTCTAATTTTAGAAGTAAAATTATGTATTACTGCTCTTGAGCCTAACTTGCTTCAGCTGGGAACATGGATAGGAATTCTGTTCTTCCTCATGGCCCAAGATTCAACAGCGGTAACTTGGACTAAAAGATATTTCATATCAGCCCAATGGTCGATTTGCCATGTACCACAAATGTGGGATGCTTAATCTCCAATTGGATGATGTTGCATATGAAGACTCATTCAATCACAGACTATTTGAAAATAATCTCAGTGTAAATCCTCAGAATTAGTACCACACATTAAGAAAACATTCTTACCCCCTTTCTAAATTTATGTTTAATTCTGTGGGTGGGAGTAAACCCAACCAAGAACTGCTTTGTCTTTCACTCATGCCTGCCCGGGGAGCACCCAGTTGAAAACTTCCTGCCTGAGGCTGTGCTCGTGGCTGCTGTGTTGTCATTGGAACCTCCCAAACCTAAGATCAGACATAGATTCTGAGCTCTGAGGCCTGGAACCCCAGTTTGCACTTGAACTATGAGAGCAGTGATAGGAATAACTCTTTTCCTAACTTTGGGTAAGTGATCTGGGTCTGATTAAGGATGGCTTTTGTAGATAAAGACAAAGCTCAGATACCTTCTGCTTTTACGTCTCCCACTGTACTCGACCAAATTGCATGGGGGACAAGGGACAGGGGAAATGCATCTATGTTTCCTTGTGTCTGTGGGTTTCTTTAGGGAATCTGGGCATCGTGGTCAGAATTTTCTTACATCGACTACTTACAGAAGATCCCCTGACACACAGCTCTGAGATCTAGGAGCTTTGAGTTCATTGAGCCCAAAGGTCATATGGAATACAGCAACTGATCTTTGGCCTGTGGCTCTGGATAGCTCAATAATAAATACCAATAATATTTCTCTTCCCCTCTCAACACACATGACAATGCTTATGCAGGGGTCGCAGTCAGAGAGGGGAGTGCAGAAGCGCTCATGCACCCAAATTTGACATTCCCGAGCTAATCTAGTGTTTCTCATCTCCTCAGGTGTTACGAGTGATGCCAAGTCCACACAGCCAGATGCCATGGAGAGTACTGAAGGAGAAACGGTGCATCTGCCCTGTAACCACTCCACAATCAGTACAAATGAGGGCATATACTGGTATCGACAGATTCCCCGCCAGGGTCCAGAGTACGTGATTCATGGTTTAAAAGGTGATGTGACAAAAGGAATGGTCTTACTGAACATCAGAGCAGACAGAACATCCAGCACCTTGATCCTGCCCCAGGTTACCCTGAGAGACTCCGCCGTGTACTACTGCATCGTGAGAGAGCCACAGTGAGATTCATGGGGCTGCACCTGCACAATATCTCCCTGGAGGGATGAGAAGCAGCAGCAACGTCTAAAGAGGATACTGCACAAGAAAAAGCAGCAGAAGAAAAGTGAAAGGGAAAATTGGAAAAGAAGTCAAGACAGTGAGGAAATCAAGAAGAGACAGAAGGGAGCCAAGAAGATGAGGGAGAAGCACTCGTGTTATTGAAAGGATAAAAAAAAACCTTGCAGGAAACTAACAATCACAGTTGTAAACCTGCAATGAAGGGAAAAGGAAATAAAAATTAGCCCTGATTCTTTGTTCTAATCAAATGTTGCTTTGCATGTAGGTCTCAGTACAATAGGTGAGAACAACCATTAGGTTGTCCTAACAGCTTTCTTCCTTTGAACCTAAAGAAGTGTCAGGCTCTGGGTACCACATAATATTAGACCTTCAAAACAGTCAGGAATAGAAGTGAATTTCAGAAACTGAGTTATTTTTCCTTGAGACAGTTTTGAATTTTTTTGTTTTCTATAGTATACACACTTGGGATTATTTGAGGGAAGGAGTTTATAAAATGGAGGCAGATATGTAGATAATAATCTTAATTCTTAAATTTATGTTGTACTATTTATATTATTGCACAAAAGTACAACAGATGGCTTTTTTTTGTTGTATAAAATGCAAGATATTACATTAGTTTGTAGAGCAAAGCCTACGCTTATAACGGACTTTGACCCCCTCCATTCCATTTCCTCTTCAACCTCTAATGACCCATTTTCACAGTTTTGAGTGTCCTGACAATTCTATTACTTTTTTCTTTTTACAAGGATACTTATAGCAACATCTACCCAATATTCTTACATAAGTTGGATCATATCTGTATATTTATTTGAAACTTTTTATTTTTTAATTAAAAAAATTTTTTGATATGTGCTTATATGTAAATTATACAAGAATTTTAGTATGCTTGTATAATAATTTAACCTGCTCACCTGTTAATAATATTTAAAATTTTTACATATCTTAGTTATTATAACCTGAATCATAAATCAACAAAACCAGTCCAGAACATAACCAGCCATATAATATGAAAAATAAAGACATTTACTGAAGAAGATACAAGATATAAAAAACATTGTACATAAGACAATGAAGCTTTTGTCCTCTTCATAGTAGGCACCTTGATATCTCACGCAGTTCTCCAAATTGCCATCAGCAGCCCCATCGTATTTTCCTGACTCTCATAAACATTCTGAAATCTCTTCCCTTTGGAAGGTGATTTTACTTTTGGGAAAAGCCAGAAGTCACTGGGCACTACAACAAGGCTGTAATTTGGCGAAATCATCTGGGCGAATTGGTGTTTCACAAAAAAACTCAGCATGAGACATGATGCATGAGCAAGCATGTTCTTGTGATGAAGCTGCCAGTTACCAGTTGCCCATAGCTACAGCCTCCTGAATCATCTGAATAATTTCTGCAGAGGAATGTTCAAGCTTAACACAAAATTTGATGCAGATTCATTGCTCTACTTACTCAGTCACCTTGAATGCAATGGCCACACAGTACACATGCTCACTTGATGGCATCTACTGCCCCCACTGACTAGTACAGTGAAATCATCATTGTTCACACATGTGCAGTCCAGTCTACTCTCTTTGATTGCCAGGTAACATCGAAGTAGCATAAACTGTTCTCTTTAGATAACAATGGCTGGACTTTTTCTGGACAGTCTTTCATGTATGTACAAATTTACAAATACATATTGATTTATATATAGAGGGAGAGAATATATATATGTATGTATTTCTTAATCTTACTCTCAGAAGTGGATTTGCTGGGCCAGGGATGTGTCTATCTTATGATTTTACAGATATTGAAAAATGGCTTTCTAAAATGACTCTAACAATCTATTATGCCAACAACACAATGTGGGAAAACAATTCCCCTGCCTCTTGGTTAACAACATTATCAATCTTTTTTTATATTTTAATAACTTGTATTTTGTTGGTATTTCATTTGCATTTTCCTGATTACTAGGGCATTTGTACAACTTGTGCCTTGTGTTTTCACTTTAATAGATCATCTTTTTCTTGATTATTTATAAGAATTTTGTTAAAAATATGAATACTACTTTTCCTGTTACACATACTTACTTTCTCATAATATATCATATCTTTTAAATTTGTTCATTATCAGGGATGTTTTTATTTTCACATTGTCAGGTCTAAGTCTTCCCATTCCAAGGTGATAAATCTAAATTCCTACATTTTATTCTACTCAAAGATATTCATGGAGTCACTCTCAGGGAGGGACTTGGGAGCTCCACTAGGGTTTAGATATTTGACAAGGTGAGACAGGACTAATAGCCTAATCAAAATGATAGGCTCCCACATTGTGCATTTTACTAGTAGAACTTTAAAATATTTTAATCAAAGAGTAGCAGACACATTGATTTAAAAAAATACTGTTCGTTATGCATTTAATTGTGTCCCCATCCCCATCAAGCACAAATTCTTATGTTGCATTTCTTGTAGTCCTGATCCCCATTATTTCAGAATGTGACCTTTTCTGCAAATAGGGTCTTCACAAGGTAATCAAGTTAAAATCAGATTATCATGGTGGGACTTAATCCAATACTATTTGTTTCCTTAGAAAAGGGGAATATTTGGAGATAGACAGACAAACATAAACACACACACACAAAGAAGACCATGTGAACATGAAAATAGAGATCAGGATGAAGTATCTGCAAGCCTAATGAGAGGCCTGAACAGATGCTTCCCTCACCAGGCTCAGAAGGAAATGCATCTGCTCATGCTTTGATTATAGACTCCTAGATTGAACTGTGAGACAATTAATTTCTGTTTTCTTAAGCCATTAGTCCTTGGTGCTTTGTGCCAGCAACCATGGCCAACTCATATGCTATTCCAATTCTTTACAAATGGGTGCCGCCTAAGATAGGACTCACCTGTTTCCCTCTCACTCAGCCATATCTCAGTGTCTGTCATGGTTGTCACTCTTAGTGACACATCTGTTTTATTTCCAATAATCCTTTGCCTAAACTAGAAACCGCTTAGAAAAATGTTCCCCTCAGTGCGTAAAATAATGAAATTTCCAAATAAACTCAGATGGAGAAACTCCACTGCTAGAAGAAGCCTCATAAGACACACCAAAGGAAGTTCTTCAAGAAATATGGAAATGGTATCAGATGGTAATTTGAATGCACACAAATAAATACAGAGCCCTGGAAATGGTAAACATACAAAGAAATATAAATACATTTTTCTTTTATTCTCTTAATTGATTTAAAAGAAAATTGCATAGAAGTATAAATTTCAAATTTTATTGTCAGGATTATATTCTATTAAGTGTAATATATACAATAATAAGAGCATGAAGCAGAGACAGGGAATGGCACTATTTTGGAGACAGAAAATGACACCAGACAGTCACTGAAATCCACAGGAGAAGTAAAGGAAATGGTGTTTGGATTAATATGAAACATTCTACAAATATATTTTCTCCTTTCTTCTCTTAATTTAAAAAAAGAAAGACATGGAATCTAATGAACAAAATAAACTAACAAACAAAATAGAAGCAGAGATATGAACACATGGGGCTGCATGGAAGAAGGTGAAGGGACTAGCCAAAGAACATATATGCATGACACACAGACACAGACAACAGAGTGGTTACAACCAGAGGGAAGTGAGGGCAAAGGATGGGTGGAGGCTGACAGAGGGCAGGGCAATTGAGGACATCAGTAATAGTGTCAGCAATAAAAAAATAAGATATTTTAAAGCAAAACCTATAATGCATTGTTGTTGGATTATAACATATATGGACATAGCCCAAAAGAGGAGAGAAGAAATAGAACAAAATGTCTGTATTTTATTGAAATTAAGTTAGCATCAACCTGAAAGAGACTGTGATAAATGAAGATGTATATTGTAGGGACATCCAGTTTTAGGTTCCACATATAAGGAGCTTGGACGTAATCACTTGAGTCCAAGCAACAAGTAAAAAACTGAATGGATTGAAGCATCACCAGGTCTTCTTGGACCCTTTAGAAGGATTGGAGAACACTGCACAAACCAATGTGCTCTAGATTAGAAAGAGACAGATATAGAGAGTGAATGTTGACAGGAAAAGAAACTCACAAGAAGAAACCATGACAGGAACTAGGACCAGGGTAGGAAAACTCACACTGTAATTGATGGATTGCTGGAGGCTCAGTGTGGACAAAAACTCCAGGGAAACTAGTAAAGAAGAAATCCCACAATTTTGTGAAATACACCTCCAGGAGCTCAATGAGTTTCCCAACCTCCTGCCCCCTAAAATTTCAGAGGAATATACCCTCCTGCTTCAGCTGGGCAATAGAAAAGGAACCATTTCAAAACAGGTAAGAGTACAGTGTTTTTTTTTTTAATTCCAAAATATGTGTTCTTCTTTTAAAAATTGTTGTTCAGTTACAGTTGTCCAGCCTTTTGCCCACTGCTCTCCCCAGCCCTGTCCCCCACACTCCCACAGTCAATCCCCTGCCTTTTGACAGAGCCCATAAGCCCTCTATTCACTTTCCTTTGTTTGCCCTTCTCCTTCTTTCTCTCACTATCCCCTCCCCACCCTCTGGTCACTGTAAGTTTGTTCTTCACTTCCATGTTTCTGGTTCTATTTTGCTCACTTATTTGTTTTGTTGATTAGGTTCCACTTATAGGTGAGATCATACGGTATTTGTCTTTCATCACCTAGCTTATTTCACTTAGAATAATGTTCTCCAGTTCCATCCATGCTGTCATGAAGGGTAGAAGTTCCTTCTTTCTTTCTGCTGTGTAGTATTCCATTGTGTAAATGTACCACAGTTTCTTGATCCACTCATTTACTGATGGGCACTTAGGCTGCAGCACTTGGCTAATGTAAATAACACTGTTATGAACATTGGGGTACATATGTTCTTTTGAATTGGTGTTTCAGGATTCTTAGGGTATTATCCCAGCAGTTGAATCACTGGATCAAAAGGCAGTTCCATCTTTAGTTTCTTCAGAAAATTCCATACTATTTTCCACAGTGGCTGCACCAGTCTGCATTCCCACCAACAGCACACTATGGTTCCCTTTTCTCCACTACCTCACCAGCATTTGTTGTTTGTTGATTTGTTTATGATGGCCATTCTGACTGGTGTGATGTGGTACA